ATATATATATACCTAAATATTAACACTATCCTGAAATGAGAAAAACTGTAAATTGGATGAGGAAACTGAGGTACCACTGGTGACGAATGCTTTTTTTGGGCCAGAGACAGTTCTGAGAAGCAGGCAGGGCCTGTCCTAAGGGACCCCCAGAAAGCTATTGCTCCACATGATCTAGCTGGCGAGTGAACACTCGGAAACGCTCGTAGCAGAGTAAGGACCGAGCTTGCTCTTTGCACAGGAGTGTGTGAGGAGGCCGAGACATCACCCCTTCTCTTCTGCAGAGCCTCCTACTCCTCTGGGCAGAAGGTGCAGGCAGGAGCTGCCTAGGAGAGAAGAGGCTCTATCTCATTCTTCCTGAGCTGGGATGAAAACCTGGTTTAGTTTAGGACAAGCTTCCCAGGAAGTGAGGGAAGGTGTTTTCTGAGGCTGCTTGCACACCTGCTGCTGTTCCTGGGAAGCATGAACAGGCTCAGGGCTGCTCTGTGAGCGTGAAACTCATCCTTGCATGTAGGTGACAGCACCCATCCTGTGGGTACCACTGCTGTCCTAAGGACACTGAGGCACAGCATGGAGCAGTGACCTCCTGAAACCCTGCCTCTCTGCAGGGGTCCCACGGGCACCCTCAAGAGTGACAGAAGGTTGGGAACTAGCAAACTATGGGACAGAAAGGCCTCAGTTGGTAGAACTGACACACCCTGTGGTACTGGGAATTGAACTCAGGGCCTTGCACTGAGCTATGCCCTCATCCCTTTTTATTATCTCTCCAAAGTCTCTCCAAGTTCCTCCCAGGCTGAGGTTGAACTTGCAACCCTCCTGGCTCAGCCTCCCAGAGTTCTGGGATTACAGGCATGTACCACCATCTCTGGCTTATATATTTAAGTTCAATTATCTCTTCTGGCCCAATGTTTTCAAGATCAGTTGTGCAATTCTTATTTGGAGCAAGGTAACAGGTTATCTCTGAGGTCTTGATATGATTTAAGGTCTTTTGTTCAAATTTTTCAATAAAACTACTTTCTTGAGCTTCTGTTCATTTAGAAATAATTTTTACTGATATTTGAGAACCATAAACATTTCAGAACAGTAGAAAGGCTGTAACTTTACACAGGTGACACCTCATTAGCATCACTGGAGCCAAATGAGGAGGCCAGCTGCCCAGGAAGGTTCAGGATCCCCAGGCTGGTCCGTGTCCTGGGTGAGCTGTCATCATTGTTCACTGCTTTAAATATCCAACCTCCGCCTGTGAGGGATGTTCATTTGGATACCCCATTCTCCAGGCGAATACTCTGCTTCTGCTCCTGTAGTCACTGCCACTTCCAAGAAGACGTCTCCAGCAGCTTCGTCACTGGGGCACCATGAGAGCCTCATCACATTTTAGTATCCTGGACCAGGGGCTCATCCTGGGAACAGGAGAGAAAAGGAGTTAGGAAGAGCAGAGAAAGCCCGGCACGTGGCTGACGCACTGTGAGAGCAAGGAGCAAGAGTGACCCTGAGAAGTGTGTTACGTTCTTGACATAAGGTTTTACATTTATTAACTTATTCCCACCTCACAAAAGTGGTATGGACTAGGCTCCTCTATGAACTCTGCGTTACAGGTAAGACACCCAAGGCACAGGGAGGGAAGTCGCTTCCTTAGGACACATGGTATGTGCCGGAGTCAGGGTTCAAGCCCAGGGACCAGAGCTCCGGCCCTCACCACTGTGGTAGGCAGCTGAATTAGACAGAAATGTTATAGGCAGTCAGACAGGGCCAGGCCCTCAAGGAGACAATATGGAAGACAAGGTGACTTTGTGACTTGGAAGAGACAGACACTCTGTGTGGGCCAGACCTCAAGACAAAAGAGGAAACATACAGCTACATACTCCCTAGGGATGGCCATCAGGGATTCATATTCTAAATAGGTATCAATCACCTTGAAAGAGTCCAAATGAGTCACTATCCCAATCCCCAACAGGAAGAGACCATGTCCCGTATTCATGCCTGCTTGCTACATGACTTCCTCATTTGATTTTGATTTAATCAATTTTACCTGAGCAGTGGTGCTTGTAATCTCATTGGTTGACCATAGTTTTGTCCCACTTCATGCCCACCTAAGCGAGTTCCCATGTTTTCCACCACCTAAAACCCTCCTCATCACATGGTTTTCTTCTATAAAAGTCCCTGGAAGAGACAGCTATCTGGGGACCACCCACTTGGGGGCCCCCTCCTATCCCTTTTTTGGACAGAAGGTTTCTTTCCCCCAGTAAATATATTCTGCTCATAACCTCCATTTGTTCCTAAAATTCATTCTTCAGTTTTAGAGAACACGAACTCATCCTAGGTACCTTTCAGGTTGGGAGTTTCTTTTTTTCCCCTATCCACCGAGATCATTTTTCCCTATGTCATGACCAGGCCATCACTGCTCCTCCCTTGATGCCGGTTTACTCTGTCCCACTGTCCTGTCCTCTTAGCTACTCTCATTCCCACTCAACTCTTCAAGATAGAAACACTGCTCAAGATTCCCTGGCAACATCAATGTGAAGGAAGAACAGGCAGAGTTGAAGTAAGCCTTCGCCTGCTCCCTAGGCACGCTGGGATTTGATCCCTAGCACTTCAAAGATAAATAAAGATGGATACTTGAGCAAAGGGACAGCAAGGTGGCTATTTGTTCACCATCTACTTAGAGGCATCCTGTGCCAGGAGGGGCACTGAAGCCCTGGCCCTGACTGTCAGTACTGAGCTGAGAAACAGATCCTTGGGAATGTGCCCACTGTGTGAGGTGTGGACTGTCCTGGGCCTAGGCAGCTGTGCAAGGAGCTGGGGACACATAGAGAAGGCCGAGAGGGCAGAGATGCTGTGGCAGGGAGGGCTGAGCCAGGTGGGGCTGGAGCCACAGCAAGTGGCAGGGAAGGGACAGTAGGAGCTGGGAGAGGTCCCAGCATGGGATGGCAGGTGGAGTCCTGGGCCCCACTGTGGGGACAGGAAGGTCAGGGGCCCTGGGAAAGCTGAGAGTTAAAGAGTAAAGGGTTGGGGCCAGGGAGATGGCTCAGTAGAATAATCACTTGCCTGGCAAGCGCAAGGGCCTGAGTTCAATCCCTGGTTCTGTAGAAGAGTAGACAGCTGGGCTGTGCTTCCTTTACTGTGCTTTTTGACTACTTTCTTCCCTCTGGTGTCTTTGACCTAATTAGGAAATGGTCCCCTGCTTGCTTTGAAGGACACAGCCTCAGCCTCCTCCTTTTTGTTCACAAAGCTCCCCTGAGAGGAGAAGCCCGTTGATTCTACGATTATATCTGATTGTGCTGGTTTCTGCCTTTCTTTGACTATGGTGGAAGGGAAAATGGATTCTTGTAAAATGCTGACAGCCTGGGTGTGACTGTAATTAGCTTCTCTCATCAACTTACTTCTACCAATCAGGGCACAGGATGTGGAGGTAGTGAGGTGCTGAGAATTCTGGCTGCTGCCACTTGAGGGGCAGGGCGAACCCTCTTGCTGCTGAGTCCTTGGTCACCAGTGCCTGGGCGGTTGGATTCTAATGGTGCCCAGCTTTGAGAGGAAGAAAGACTGAAGGCAATGCGTCCTGCAGACAAACTTCACACTGTGCCTGGGCTGAGGAGCCGGGTGAGAGCTGACGGCTGACCGCAGCAGTGTCTGACAGTACTGACTATGCTCTGTGACCCTGCACACCCCAGGGCTCTCTTGGGGGTTGGTTTCTTGTTCTCCAGACCAGAGGCTTGGGCTCCACAGCATCAACACCATGACATAGACATGGAAAAGGGGAGCAGAGTGGCTGCATGGGAGGCAAGACCCAGGAGTGGAACAAAAGGAAAGGCTGGGGGGTTGGGGGGTTCAGAGGTGGGCATGAGCCTGGTGTGTCTGAAAAATAAAAGCATCAGCCAGGTTGGAGCACCGAGGATGGAGTCAGGGAGAGACAGGTGCATCCAGTCCCAGCCCTGCTCTCCAGGGTTTCGACCCTGCTCAGGAATGGGGTCTTTGTAGATGTAACGGAGCATCTCAAGATGAGTCTGTCAGGCAAGTAGTTAGACATTAGCAGGATGGGGGTGGGGCTGGAAGTGGGGGTGACACAGCTTGTGTTGCCAGTTTAGCAAAAAAAGATTTTGGTGTCTAACACATTGATAGCCACTCCTTAGGGCTCAACATAAAATGATCCCACAGAGCACAAGGGCATCTTACGGTGTCGCATTGTGCCTTGTACTTCTGACACCTGGTTGCCGGGTCTTCTAACCCCAGAATAAGGCACACAGCATGCCTCACTGCCACGGCCTGCTGCCCAGTGATATCAGGAAAGCAACTGTTCTTTAAGATCCCCGGATGTTGGGCTGGGACCTGGTTTAAATCAAGAATTTCTCAGCACCTGGGAGGCTGAGGCATGAGGATTTCCCTGAGCTTAAGGCTAGCCTGAACTACATAACAAGACCTTTTCTCAAAAACAAATCAATAATTTATTTTTCAAATTCTTTTATAAGTTCCTTATGTGATTCAAGCTCCTAAGGAAACACTGCCCATCTAAAAGGGACAGGAAGTCAGACACGGTGGAGCAGGTGGTACATGCTTATAATCCCAGCACTTGGAAGGCTGAGGCAAGAGGATCAGTGTAAGTTTGAGATCATCCTGGACTACATAATGAGTTCAAAGCCAGTCTGAACTGCACCGTGAGACCCTGTCTCAAAAAGACAACCAACCAACCAAAGGTGCAGGAAAGTATTTTTCAATTCCAAAGTAACTTTTTCTAAATAAAATGTTGCTAAATGTCACAATTACCCTAGCTTCTAGGACCCCAGGAGTAACTTTGGGTGCAGAGAAATAACATCAGGGTGTAGAGAAATAATATCAAACTCGCCTTGGTTTGGATGCCTTCACGGCAGTGCCTGCCTTTTCGCTTGATGGTGTGACTTCCTGTCTCTACAACAATTTATGCCTAGACTGCTGCAAGGCCTGGGAGTCTTCACCGAATGTTTTCATTTAAGGCACGAAGAACTAAAGACCAAGAAGTGAGTCAGATTTCTCATGTGTTTGGACCTGGCTGCCGGGTACTTCTGGGTTTGGGGGCCCTCCATCCAATGACAGCTCCTTATTAAGTAAGAGGAAGGAGCGCCCCGACACAGTCATGGGAAAGGCTATGAGAGACAGGCTGGTATAGGGAGTCAGGCTCCCAGGGCTCCAGGAGAGGAGAGGCTCCCCACTCAGAACCCCTACAGCAAGCCAACCTGTTAGCATCTTAATTTTGAAGTCCTTGCCTCCAGAACTGTGAGAAGGCATATTTTCTGTTGTTTAAGCTCCAAGCTTGTAGTATTCTGGAAGGCAACTTTAACAAGAAAGTTGGGTAATTTCAGCAAAGAATAAATTATTCAGTTCTCCATGGTGATACACAGCAGCCTTTGGAAGGCTGAGGCAGGAGGTTAGAGCCTAGCCTGAGATATTACTGACTTACAGACACTGTCTCAAATTAAAACACTTTTAAAAAGAGCTGGGGAGATAGCTCAGTTCAATTGTCAGTACCACAAACAATATAAAAGAAAAAGATGATCCAAACTAACCCACCTACCACCCAGGGGGCCAGGCAAGAGGCTCCTGTTGTTCCAGGAGGCCAAGAGCCATGAGTGAATGGGCAAGCAAACTAACAGAAGGGAAAAGAAACCATGTGGGGGGTGGGGGTAGGGCAGGGACATGGCTGAGGAGGCCATCAGGGTTGGGGTAGGAAATAAGACCCCAGGTTTTCCCTTTTCCTTTTGCAGTGCTAGGGAATCAAATCTAGGGCTTCACACATGCTAGGTGAGCGTTCTGCTGCCAAGCCACAGCCAGTCCTGCACCGAGTCTCTCTTGGGGAACTGCCAAGTCCTTGGGTAGCTCTGTACCCACAGCACGCACAGGTGGTAGGAAGGCCCAGTCAGGCAGGCCCTGACAGAACAGGGATCGGGGACCTCCCTCTTCCTGTGCAGCTGGTAAACGACAGGAAGTCACAGTAGGTGCCTTCCTAAGGCCCATCTCCAATGCCACCTTCACCATGCCTGCTACTCTGTGGTAGATATTGGCAGACTGAGCTGCACCAGTCTCTCTCCCTGCACAGGCCCCTGTCAGGAGAAGCTGGACCCACACCAACATGCTGCCCCCTCTGCCCTTTTGCCCCTCGCTACCAGCCCCAGCCAGTCCCTACCAGACAGCACACAGCAGGAGCCTGATGCCTTTGTTTCCACACACTGAGCTAATTTACCCCAGACTGAGAGGAGCAGGGCACAGGGCAGAAGCTCAAGGTGGCCTGGCACAGCCCTCCCTGTGTGAACAAGCCCAGCCACCTACCATGGGGACAGCCGGCTCACTCTGGAGGTCATTGCTGGTCCTGGGGCTGCAGCCTTGAGCCGCTCCAGGCACTTGCTTTTTGTTGTCTTCCTCACTCATGGGGGTGCTGCCACCTTCCTGTGCTCCGGAAGGGGGCTGGGGGGTCTCCTCCCCCTGGATCTCCTCCTTGGCCTTCGCATCTTGGCTCTTCTGGCCAGGGCTGCCCTCCTTATCGCCTGGCTTTGCCTCTGCAGACTTCCGCAGCTCTGCTTCCTCTCCAGCAGCCTTGTCCTCCGTGGGGTGCACATGCTCACTCTCGGCCTCCTCTGGGCAGGAGGTCTGGGATAGCTCCAGAGTCCCCTCCTGCGCCGGGCTCCCACTGGCCTCCTCCGAGCTCCATCCGGCCCTGTCCTCCTGCTTCTCCACGCTGCTCGATGTCCTCCTCAGAGGGGGCTTGCCCACCAGCACCTGGCTTCCCAGCACACCCCCACGGAGTGGTGGGGAGCCCAAGGTGTCACTCTTGGGTGGGAATACCTCATCCCCATTTTCCCTGGCACCATTCTCCTGAGATGAGTCAGAGGCCCCAAAATCTCTAAGGTCCCCACAGTCTGACTGTGACCTTCGGAACCTCCTGGAGGGGGGGCGCCTTTTGATAGAGCCCCTTGTCCGTACCTGGAAGAGGGTGTGAGGGACAGTTAGCCAGTGTCAGAAGACAAGAGGAGGACCGCCGCCACTCCCACAGGCGTGACCCAAGGGTCACTGCATCTCCTAGGAAGACACCCCATCCTCTCCTGAAGATTCAAATATTTCCCATTAAGAAAAAATTATACTGGCCGGTATAGCTCAGCAGCGCAGTGTCTGACTGGCAAGCACAAGGTCTTTAGTTCAACCCTAGAATTGCCCCACCACCACCAAAAGAAAAGAAAGAAAGAAAATTGATTTTATTGCCCTGTAGAACATTCACTGCTAGAGTGTCTAATTTGGCAAGTTTTATTTATTTATTTATTTATTTATTTATTTATTTATTTATTGGCAGAACTGGGGAGATGGCTCAATGGAATAAGCGCTTCCCTGGCAAGCGTAAGGGCCTGAGTTCAATCCCTGGTTCCACAAAAAACAAAAAAAAGAAAAGTAAGGCAGAACCGGTGATTGAACTCAGGTCCTTGGGCTTGCCAGGGAAGCGCTTATTCAACTGAGCCATCTCCCTGGCCCTAGCAATTTTCTTTTTCCTTCTAAGGATTGAGGTCAGGACTTTCACACTGTACATTCCCCATCTATTTTAAGCTCTAAAAATGTTGCTAAGATGCCAAATTGCCCAGACTGGGGTGGAATTTGAGATCTTCCTGCCTCTGCCTCCCAGAGTGCTGGGATTATAGATGTGCACCACCATCCCATCTTAGTTTAGCAATTTTATTGGAACAGCTTTTAAAAAATTGCCTGTGAGCCAAGGACATAGGTCAGTGGTGCAGCACCTGCCTGGTAACTGCCCTGGTAAGTGCAAGGTCCTGAGTTAGATTCCCAACACACACACACACACACACACACACACACACACACCCCTAAAAAGTTGCCTATGAATAACCAGTTCTTCAAATGCTCTCTGAGGGAGCTTTACCCACTTTTAGGTGTCCTCACAAGTTGACATGTTGAATAAAACCTGCTTCTATGCTGTAAGTCTTGTGATTTAAATTTTTGAAAATGATGCTAGACAAAGGTATGCCTTCCTCTGTCTCTATAATAATTTATGCCTAGACTGTTGCAAGGCCTGGGAGTCTTCAATGAATGCTTTCATCTAAGGCATGAAGAACTGAGGACCAAGAAGTGAGTCCTGGAAGAGGATGGGCCTGCAATGCCTGGCCACTGGGGCAACATTAGCGTCGGAAGCTGGAGCTTAGGAGCCCCCGGCACAGCTGCCTGGAAACGATCCCTGTCTGAGTGGTGTGTGGTCTCAGACTCAAAAGAACCACCCTTTAAAACTTTCTAGGACACCACACTTGGGTGACTCTTGGTCCACTGATTGATGGTTAGATACCTGCCAATCATACTTCTACCTCCGAGGTTTGTAGGGTCAGGGCTCTGGCCCTCATGGCCAGCAGAGAGCAGCTGGCATAAGGCTGAAGCCCCCGGATGATGACCGGGCAGCACCCCTGCTCCTCCTAAGCACCCCTGGGGAAGACCAGCTCTCTGCTGGCTCCTGTCTGCTCTCAGGGGCCTCTGTCACCTGGAGACAGAGGGCTTCGACCTTCCCCCTAGCCAGCAGGCTCAGACCTACTGTTTTGACATCTGCAGCATTTTCTGGTTTTTTGGTTTTTTTTTTTGTTACCAGGGATCAAACTCAGGACCTCATACTTATGCGGCAGGCACTTATGTTACTGAGCTATCTCCCTAGCCCAATGCAGCACCTTCTGCTACATGGATTTCCTGGATGGCTTGGAAGATCTGACTTCTCTATCCTTAATTCCAAAGCTGTATGTAGATAGCATTCCCTGGCAACAGACCCCCCACCCATGTGGCCCCTGCCTGGCTCTGTCCCACGTTGCTGGCTACTTGCTCAGCCAGCACGGAGTGTAGCTCACTCCCCAACTCCCCTGCTGGGGCTAAGGATCTGAAGAAAGCACACACAAAGGATCAGGGCAGCACCACAGACACGAGATGGCCAAGGGAACAATTTGTACATCCTCTGACTCCTTAAGAAAGGTGGGGCTGATACCAAGCCACTTGGCACCATTAGGGCAGTGACTCAGGGCAGAAGTGGATGTTTCAGGGTCTTAGTGATGTTTCGGCCACCTTCACTGGGAACTAGTTTTATTCTCAGCTTTTGGCCTTGTCTATCTGTACAGCTAGGATTAGTTCTCACCCCCTCTGTGTCCAAGAAGGATGGAGGCTACTTGGTAGCCTCAGCTCTCAGTGGGGTGCATGACACAATGACAGGTCGAGGGGAGGGGTGACTAAGAGCAGAGATTTCACTCCTGGAAAGGTCAGCTCTGATCCTGGTGCCAAATGTGTCCTCCTCGATCCAGGACAAAGGAGAGGGATTCAACACTGTCCCCTACCCACCCCCACACTCTGAAGCATGTGGATGCACTCCAGGCAGGTGTACCTTGTTGTAGCAGGGCAGGTGACTCCCTTCTGGGGGCTGGTCGAAGCTGACAGGCACCTCCTCTGCCTCGCTGGGCCGTGGCCTCACGCCAGGGCTGCTGGGAGTGGATGGAGGGCTGTGAAATGGCGACACCAGGGCCTTGAGGCCAGGACTCTTGGGTGAGGCTCCGGGCAGAAGGGCCGCTGGATCAAAGGTAAGATTGGCCTGTCATGAAGAGGAGAGGATTTTCAGTCAGGGTTGGGGAGAAGGAATGCACTTCTACCCCAGCTTGTTGCTTACCTGGGTTCAAAACTAACTGCTTGAGGTCAGCTCACCCGAGCCTCTTGGGGTCTCTTCCTAGCCCGTTATCCACCACCTCGCACTCAGCTCTGCACGTGCTGCCTGCTGCATCCTCCTTGCTACTTGACTTGCCACAGTGCTCACAAGCATGCATGTACATCCAACCACAATGCCTGGAGCTGGGTACAGAGATGCACTCCTGAATCCCAGCAGTCTGGGAGCCGAGGCAGGAGGAGCCCAAGTTTGAGCCCAGTCTGGGCAACTCAGCAATTAAGCAAGACCTTGGCTCAAAATAAAAAAAATTTAAAAAGGGCTGGGGATGTAGCTTAGGGCAAGGCCTTGTGTTCAAGCCTTGACACTGAACTCAGCTTTGTTCTGGTTGCATGAACTAGGCAGTGACTAAGGAGTCCGTCTGAGACCCATGCAAGGCCTGTCCCCTGCAGCCTGCAGGTGTGTGCTGGGAGATGGCTCAGGAGTGGGAATCACACTCTCCAGGAGGTAACCACCGCATGTCCCCCCAACCCAAGCCCAGTGCAGCAGGGGTGACCTCGGGTGAGGGCCACCAGTGGGGAGTCACATAGGTAACAAAAGCTGCAGGGGTCTTGGATCTGGGAGAGGTAGTGGTTGTGAATCCACCCCAGTGGGCAGGAGGGTAACCATGGGGCAGTGCAGGAGCATCCTCCTTGGCACCATGTGGGGTCACTTGTTCTCCTGCCCCATGTCCAAATCCCCATACAGCTGGAGCCTCCAGGCCAGCGGCGCTGCCAGCAACAGCAGTGAGGTCTCACCAAGAAGGGTCAGAACTCGGATGGCAAATGGTACGAGCTCAAGCCCTCCGATTCTCCAGACCAACAAATCAGACTGTCATTTATCAGCTGCTGTATGACCTTCAGCAAGTCCAACCCCCTTTCCGAGCCTTGGATTCTTAACCTGAGTCTTTTCTGGCAGATCTTTATTTACTGTCCCCTGACCCTGCCTGGTGCACACCTCCATTGTCCTCCCCTGCTCCCGGTGGCCCTAGAGGGACCCCTATCTGAGAAGGTAGCATGCGTAGACCACAAAGCATTACCCATGTTTAGGAAGGCAGCTACGCTCACCACTACCTGCCACCACTACCCATGATTAGGAAGGCATTCGCCACTGAGGCGGGGAAAGAACTAGATACAGAAAATGTAAAGAAGCAGCACTGTGAGCCCAAGAGAAGTGATGGGTACAGAGAGGCCTGGACCTTGGCTTCTGGGCAGAGGCCTTCACCCATGCATTAGAGGAGGGCCCCTTTTCTACTAAATGACAATCAGAGAAATTCCTTCTAGACAGCAACTTGCAAATAAAACGGACCTTGCTAGTCAGCAGAAAAAACAAACTTTGAACTTGGGGAGAATCACTATGGATAACCCACTTAACAGAATATTTCCAAAAAACACCTCAGTGGAGGGGGCCTTTCTTAGTCCTTGTGCCCTGGGTTCCCAACAAAGTCAGGCTGGCTGCAGGAGACAGACAGGCAGGGCTGGGCTGTACCCTCGGCTAGCTGCAGGAGGGATGCTGAGGTGTGGTCCCTAGGCAGGGATCCCTGAGTGCACACAGGAGCTCAGTACCTCCTAGGGTGACAGCTGGAGGGAGTTCTCAGTAGGAATTTACATTTCTGGGGCACCCTACAGAGGCCCCAGTCTTGCTTTCCTGAGCCCCACACCAGGCTGGGAACTGGTCTCTGACCTCTCCACAGCTGGGGGCTGCACAGCCTGTGGCTCTTTGTCTGGACATCCCAAAGGTGGTCTCAGAACAGGAGGAGAAGCTGGGTCCTTTGCAGGGGCTATGGGACCTGATGGTATAGGAGAGCAGGGCTCCTCCTGGCTGCTGGGCAGGCTCTGGGAGCAATTAGGACCCGTCTGCCAGGCTCCAGGCGGTGCCCCCGCCCTGTGCTTCATTCATGTCTCACTGTCCCTGTGGCTGGAGCACCTCCTCCCTCCCTCCAGCCCCGCCCCCACAGGAGGACCCATTCAGGATGCTTGGACCTCCTGCTCTGCCTGGACTCCCCAGAGCAATGCTCCTCACCTGAGGGTGGTGTCACTTTGCCCCCAGGGGATATTTGGAGGCATTTTTTTTCATGGTTACAACTTGCCTGCAAGTGCTACTCAGAGAAGGACCAGGGATGCTGAAACTGCTTTGCAAGACAGTCCCTGCATTGTGGGAAGGCCCAAAAGCCCCAGATGAGGTCTGGATGAGTGGGCTCAGGACACACAGTGGAGATCACTGCCACTTACTGTCCTAGATCTATTGTTGTGTTCCGTACAATTATGTTTTTTCAAGATAGTCTCACTGTGTAGTTCAGGCTGTCCTTGAACTCACTATGTAGCCCAAGCTGGCCTTAAATTCATGCCAATCCTCCTGCCTCAGCCTCCCAAGGGCTCAGATTACAAGTATGCATCACCATGCATGGCAAGTATGAAAATTTTGTCTCCCCAACAAGATCGGGGGTCAGGGGCAGCGCCATCTGTGTTGCAGCCACTCCCAGGGAGCCAGCTCGCCATGGGCACCGTCCATGAGCATACTGGGCTCACAGGCTGACAGGGCCAGGTGGAATGCTCTCCAAACAAGGAATCTGGCCACAGCTGCTGGATTTCAGCCCTGTATGCAGAGGGCTGTGGAAGGCTGACGTGACCTATGGTTACACCCAAGCCTCCGAAGAGAGAGCTTAGCTATCGCTGGCAGTTTCTTTCAATCACAATTTACTTTTTCCATGAGACTTGTGAGGCATCCCGTCATATCCACGTGGAGCTGACCGTCTGTGTGTGGTTTGACACGGTCCTCAGGTTAAAGCTTTGCCCAGGAGAGCATTGTGAAGACAGTCTCATGCTCTGGGCAGTCTGGTACTAGCTGGTCACTGGGGATAACTACTAGGGGGTCTTGGGTGCATGTCCCAGGAGTCCCAAAGGCCTCCTTCCAAAGGCCTGCACGCTGTGAGGAAGGGCAGGGTTGGGTCAAAGGGAGCCTGGTCGGTGCATCTTGTGCTTACCTGGAGCTTCTCAATCAGGGGCGAGCTCTTCACCTTGACTTTAGGAGCGTGGCTGGCATTGGAAGATGCTTTCTACAGAGCAAACAGATCAAAGCAACCAGATGAGTGGGGGAAGGGAGGAGGCTCTAGCTGGAGCCCAGCAACCCCAGCCAGTAGGAGAGGCTGGTCACCATTCACTTCCTGTTCCCTTTCTTTTACAGGCCTGTGTGAGGCCTGTGCGAGGCCTGCTCCTTCAGTCCTTCCCTCAACCCCCCAGCAAGATCACTTGACTGTATAAGCGAGAAGCCAAGGCAGCCACCCATGACAGAGGAGGTCCCCCAGCCCAGGAAGAACAACCTGGCTGTCACTGAGAAGGAAACTGTGTCTGAGGGGAGAAAGGTCTTAGCCCTGTAACCTTCAACAAGGT